TGTTGCCCTTGGTAGAGTGCTGTGGTGTCATGGTTCACAGCAACCTCAAACTCTTGGGCTTAAGTGATTCTCTTGCCTCAGCCTCCCGAATGGCTGGGACTATAGGTGCCCGCTACAACACCCAGCTATTTTTGTTGTTTAGGAGGCCCGAGCTGGGCTCAAACCTGCCAGCCTCAGTGTATGTGGCCAGCACCCTACTCACTGAGCTATGAGTGCCAAACCTAAAAATTTTTTTAATTAAAAAAAAAACAAAAACAGGTTGGGCATGGTGGCTCATGCCTGTAATCCTAGCACTCTTGGAGTCTGAGGCAGGTGGATTGCCTGAGCTCACAGGTTTGAGACCAGCCTGAGCCAGAGTGAGACCCCATCTTTAAAAACAGCCAGGCATTGTGGCAGGTGCCCATAGTCCCAGCTACTTGGGAGGCTGAGGCAAGAGGATCACTTGAGCCCAAGACTTTGAGATTGCTGTGAGCTATGATGCCACAACACTCTACCCAGGGAGATAGAATGAGACTATCTCAAAAAATATATATTAAAAAAAAAAAAACATAACACAAAGTATTAGTGGAGGAAGCAGACACATCACATTAATGGCTCTACAGTTTGCTAAGGCCATTAATAAAGGTGAGTCCAAAATACCTGTGAGCACAGAGGAGCAATAAGCCAGGGAACAGGAAGGCCTCCATGGACCGTCACATGTACTCCAAGCTAAGGGAATACTGTCACTTCAACAGATTCCCTCTAACCTGGAGTTGGAAGAGGAGGAGGACTGGAATAGGCAAAGAAAGGAGGGTCTTCCAGGCAGCAGGCCCAGGAGGAACAAAGGCAGCTCCATCGGGCTCCAGGAAGGGCCCCCTGAGAGCACTTAGAGACCAGCATACTGATGGGTCTCACAGGAGAGATAGGCATAAGAAGGAGATTTTTGTTTTTTTGTTGTCCCAGCCCCCCATTTCAGATGACAAAACCCAAGGCTGAGAGAAGCAAAGTCTCCTAGGCATTCCATAGCCAAATGTAGCTGCCCCGAATCCGGTGCCCGCGGCCCCCATCTTGCTGTTGGTGGGGAACGCTCAGCCTCTCTTCTGTCACTCTCTACCTCTGAGGACTGTGTCCCATTGACTTGTCTCCCTTGAATGCTTTTCTGCCTCACTCTCTTACCTCTTCCAGAAGAAGATCCACCGACTTGCCCACCGCATGGTGCCCCAGCTGCGGCTGCCCAGGCCCTCAGCCCTGTTTGCCATGTACTCCTACCTACAAAGTCGTAAGATCAAGATTTTGGATATCTTCCGCAAGGTGGATCACCGTGGAAACTTGAAGATCTCCAGGGAGGAGTTCATCGAGACCCTAAAGACAGTAAGTGCTCCCCACTTCATGTGACTGGGTCCCTTTCCCAGGCCCCCCATCACTCACTGGAAAAGCAGACACAGGGAGCCCGAACTACCAATACTGTTATTCATAAAGCCAGCTTGGAAAATGTTGGTTAACTGTAGCAAAATGAGACCCTTAAAGTGCACCTCTGTACCAGTCTGACCTTGAAAGACTCTACAGGCGTGGAGAGCCAACTTTGCAGAGCCAACCCATAACCAGCCAGGGAAGTCCCTGTCCCACCTAGCAGACACCAGACTGAGCCCAAAGAGACCGGGCCTTCACTTCTGCCTTGAGAACCTTCTAGCTTCTCCAACTATCACTGGGATATCAATCAGGGAGTAGTACAGCTCTTTTAGAAATCACATAGTGTTGTTCAATGTAGCTCCTGGGCCAGTACATCCATGCAGGGCCTGTACTTCTGACGAGCTCCTGGTGATGCCTGTGGTGCTGGTGTATGGACCATACTTCTACTTTCACTGGCTATTTTAATAATTTAATCTAATTTTATTTTTATGTATTTATTTATTTATTTATTGAGATAGAGTCTCACTCTGTTGCCCTCTGTAGAGTGCTGTAGCATCAGAGCTCACAGAAACCTCAAACTCTTGGGCTCAAGTGGTTCTCTTGCCTTAGCCTCCCTAGTAGCTGAGACGACAGGCGCCCACCACAATGCTTGGCTCTTTCTGTTGTTGTTTGTTTGTTTGTTTTAGCAGGCCAAGGCCAGGTTCAAACCCACCAGCACTGGTGTACATTGCTGGCACCCTAACCACTGTGCTACAGATACTGAGCCCTAATTTTAAATAAGTAAAATTAAACACCCATTTTCTCAATCACACCAGCTACATTCTGAGTGCCCAGCAGTTACTTGTGGCAAATGGTTCCTCTGTTGGACTGTGCAGCTGAGGAACATGTCTGTCACCATAAAAGTTCTACTGGTCTAGCAGGGTCTGCAAAATATGGCCCATAGGCCAGGCACAGTGGCTCACACCTGTAATACTAGTACTCTGGGAGGCTGTGGCGGGTAGATTACTTGAGCTCACAAGAGCAAGAGTGAGAGCCCATCTCTACTTAAAATAAAAAGCTGAGGCAAGAAGATCACTTGAGCCCGAGAGTTTGAGGTTGCTGTGAAGTATAATGCCACGGTACTCTACCTAGGGCAACAAAGTGAGACTCTGTCTCAAAAATAAAAATAAAAATAAAAATAATAAATAGAAAAGTTAGTTAGGTGCTGTGGCAGGTGACTGTAGTCTCAGCTACTTTATAGGCTGAGGCAGGAGGATAACTTAAACCCAAGAATTCAAGGTTGCTGTGAGGTATGATGACACTACAGTGAGACTCTGTCTCAAAAAAAAAAAAAAAAAAGAAAGAAAAGAAAACCACCCAAAACAACAACAAAAAGACCCTTTCCTTCTTAAATGTTCAGTTTTGCTGGCAAGCCTCATATGCCTGCAGAGATGCCATCGTCCTTGTAAGAGTAGGATGTATCGTATTCCTGATCCTATAAGGGAGGTTTACGAGATGCTTGTGGACTGGGATGCTAGACGGGTGAAATCATTCCGTGCCCAGTGTGGTAACTGCTGTCATTACGATTGGCACTAAAGTGGGGAGGGAGCCCAGAGGAAGAAATAACTAACACTGTAAAGATGGTGGCGTCTGGACTGGGCTTTGCAGGAGGCGCGGGAGTTTTTCAGGCAGAGAGTGAGGACTGTCCGAGCAAAGGCAGAGTGTGAAAAAGTGCGTGGTGCTGTGTTCAGGACTGGGAAAGGGCTCTGTGTCCTATAGGGGGAATCTTGGGTATGAGTCAGAAGGGAGAGTGGACGAACTAAAAACAGGGCTGGGGGGCAGGGCCCGGCCAGTATGGCAGGACACTTGGATAGGAGCCTGCCAGTCTTGGGGGCTTTTCTTCTCTCCTCAGCTCAGAGTCCCTCTGAAGTACCAAGAAGTAGAGGATATAGTGATCTATCTCAGCTCTCTTGGGAGGCACAACAGCATTACCACGGAAATCCTGGCCAACACCTACAAGCAGTGGTGCTCGACTCAGAAGAGCCCCGTTCCCGCCCCACAGGAAAGTGAGTACCCCTTTTTGCCCTGTGCCTCTACGTCCCCATCCTGGGAGCATCATGGTGCAGGCAGCCTCAGCTTCTCCCGAAACATTCATTTTCCAAGTGTATTTTCCAACTTCTGCTCACTGTAGTTTGGCCAACTTCTGGACTATCTAGGCCCAGAGATCATCTAAGGAGCAGACGCTGTCTTGGGTTCCCTGCTACCACTGTGTCCATTTAACGATGAATGAGCCCCAGCTCTTATTCTGAGAGGAGGATATTCAGAGTAGTCTCAACCCACCAGAGCCCACCCGATAAGCCGAGAACTGACCCAAATGACAAGCTTATCCAGAGACATTTATTTGTATGAGGATCCCGGGCCTCCTTCCTATTAATCCACACCGTATCGATAAAATGTTAACTAAAATTTCTTGTTCAAGAACCAGAATTAGCATATGTTTAGAGTTTACTGGAAAGTCTGCTTTGATATTCTACTATGGGGGAATTATAGCACACTGCTGGAAACAGTTGTCTAAGTTGTCCACAGCAAAAATTCCATTTGCCAAGCTGTATGTTGGTGGGGCCACCTTGGGCCAGACAAGGCATGGAGGCAAATTAGAAGTGGACTTGCTAAAGCTCTGTGAATTTACTCTGTAACACAAAGGTACATAATGTTTCTTTATATTTTAGTGCCATTGTTATTGCAAAAAAAAAAAAAATTACAACTACTCACCCATTCCAGCACTCTCTCCAAATATAACCACAGCTTTGTTTTTCTAAATGAAATAAATCTTGCGGTAACCCTATCCACTGTGTTGGCAGGAATTTAACCTCAGATATGTTTGGGGGGCCCCTTGCACTCCCTGAGAGAAGCCTGGGGTTGGGGGTTGGGGGCAATATTCCTTGGGGCAGGGCCTGGAGTTGATGGTCACACTGTATGTGGTGCTCGGCACGCTCACTGGCAAGCTTATCTGGGGGAACCTGAGCGCTTGCACAGTAGCGTCCTTCACGTATCAGCTCCCCCATGCAGTACTCACCAGTGTCTGTGCAGGGTGCTTCGTGACCAGTGTCCTCAGGGTTCCTCAAGTTGGGCACACTTTCCCTCCAGTGTTCTTTGTGCCTTTTCATTATAAATTCCCTCTATGTGTGTAGCTAGAACCGAGTCATGTGAATTACCACAGTGGGCCTGTTATTTCCCAATAAAAAAACTTGGAGCCGAGCAGCCAGTATTGCTCTTTGGGCATTATCACTGAGCTCTTTTCCCCTGGAGACTAGCAGTGGGACTTGGATATCTCTGACTTTGTCTAATGGGCAAGAGTTTGGGCACCTTGGCAGGGAAGTCCTCTGTGGGTCAGATGCTCCACTTGCTGAATTATCTTAGTTTGTCCTTGAAGGTCAGAGTTTCTATTCGTGCTTTACAAGGAGGCGGCTAACACCTCAGACAGGCTGAGGCACTGTCCATAGTCTAAATAGAAGGTGCTAAGGCCAGGATTTTATTTCAGCTTCAGACAATAAAGACCTGAACCAGGGCAGGGGCAATGGGAATCTTTCAGTCACTCAGGTCTTTGTTGAACACCTACTATGTGCCAGGCACACTTCTAGGAACTGGGACACAGGAGTAAACAAGCCAAAGCCCCTACCTTCAATGAACTTACACAGAAAGGGTTAAATAAGATGATGTCCAATAGTGATCTCTGCATTGAAAACAACAGGACGCAGTAATAGGGTGGTGGGCAGGGACGGCTGCTCTGAGAAGCAGACATTGGAGTTGACACCTGAATGATTTATGGGGGCCAGCTTCAAGGCAGTCTGGAAGGGCAACCTGGGCAGGTGGAACTGCCAAGGCAAAGGCCCAAAGGCAAGAAAGCTTTCAGGGACAGAAAGAAGTTAGGGTGGCTGGATGGAGTGGGTGCTGGATGAGCAGTAGGACATGGGCCAGTTGGAAAGGAAGCTGGGGATGGGGCCTTGCAGCCTGGGGAAAGGACATTTGATTTTAGTCTAAGTGCTATGGGACCCAAGAGGAGCGAGGTGATCTGGTGCATATATATATGCTGTCTGGAAAGTATCTAGCCATATAATACAAAAACTAGTATTAATGGCAGGATACTTTCTGGACAGCTGTAAGACAGACATATATATATATTAATATTTAAACATTTCTAGAGACTTGGTCTCGGTGTATTGCACAGACTGTAATTTTTTTTTTTTTGTATTACAGTGGCTACTCATAGGCACAGTCATAGCTCACCATAGCCTCAACTGCCTGGGCTCAAGGGATCCCTCTGCTTCTGCCTCCTGAGTGGCTGAGACTACAGGCACGCACAACCGTGCCTGGCTCTGTAGTTTATAAAGATCCTATTTTGCCTCTGGGTGGAAACAGAGCAGAGCATGGACAAGTGTGGTGGCAGGAGGGCTGGGGGAGGTGTGCAGGTTAGGGAGGCCATAGTGGGGAAGGCAAGGAGGGACACAGTCAAGGTACAGCGCACTGGCGGCTGGACACCATCACAGTCCCGCCTTCCCTCGTCTCTTCCCTCTGACTCTAGACATGGCCAAGAACAGAGCTTCCCCAAAGAACCTGTACAAGCAGGAAGCGGATTCAGATGCACAGTCTCCCGAGAATGACCTGCTGGTGGTGCCCATGCTTGACACCTACATGGAGTCACGGCCCATGTCCACACAGGAGATGGAGGAGGCAGGCAAATGGTACCGCAATCGGAGGCAGCAGCCAAAGGTATCCTACCAGCCCTGGGAGGGCACAGGGCTTGGGGACCGGGCCAGCTGGGGTTCAACTCAGCACAGTGGCAACAGCTGCTGGCTGAAGGAACCTTTTGTGAGGGGGTTCTCGCCTCTCGCTCTTCAGTCTGTAAGAATAATACCTGCCTTACGAGGTTTTTGTGATGATGAAATATAATAAGACCACATTTCTGCCAGGCATAGTGGCTGGATCCTATAATCCCAGTGACTCAGCAGGCTAAGGAAGGAGGATCACTTGAGGTCAGGAGTTCAAGACCAGCCAGGGCAACATAGCTAGACCTTGTCTCTAAAAAGTGAGAAAAGTTAGCCAGGTGTGGTGGTGTGCACCACACCTGGGAGGATTGTTTGAGCCCAGGAGTTTGAGGCTGCAGTGGGCTATGATGATGCCACTACACTCTAGTCTGGTGATAGGGTAAGACCTGGTCTCTTAAAAAAGAAAAAAAGAGAGAGAGATCACATTTCTGAAAGTATTGAGTTCCCCTCTTCCCGTTTTTTTTTCTTTTTTTTTGAGACAGAGTCTCATTCTGTCTCCCTGGGTAGAGTACCAGGGCTTCAGCTGGGTTCAAACTGTCCTCTTGCCTCAGCCTCCCAACTAGCTAGGATTACAGGTGCCTGCCACATGCCCAGCTAGTTTTTCTATTTTTAATAGAGACAGGGTCTGGCTTTTTTTGCTTAGGCTGGTCTCAAACTGCCGAGCTCAAACAATCCACCCACCTTACCCTACCAGAGTGCTAGGATTACCAACATGAGCCCCCCAGCTGGTTTTCCCATTCTTTAAATACTTTTCTTCCTGAGTCCAGCCCTGCCTCTTCATTGCAGGTGGAATTCAGGTGCCTGGCATAGGGCCTGACATGGAGTAGACCCTCCAGAAATAGTAGACCTTTCACTTCATGGCAAGTGAAGGAAGGAAAGACTGAGTGAGTGACTTAGTTTATCCAATAAATATTTATTGAGAGCCTCCGATGTGTCGGGCCGGATGCTGTAGTGTAGTGAAGGATAGAGTCCCTGCCCCAGGAAGCTGACAGTCTAGTCAGAGAAGCAGACAATGTTACTATGTATAAATATAGAAGATATAAATACATATTTGCATATGCAATATATGTATAATAAAATGGCAGATATTGGTAAGTGCTGTGTCAACTAAGATTTGATTAAATTGCCTAATAAGAAAACCCAAATGTTAAAGACTGGCAAAGTTTGCTCGTAAAGAAGCAGACAGTGAACACTTTAGGCTTTGCGGGCCATATGGTCTCTGTCACAACCACTCAGCTCTGCGGTTGTTGCATGAAAGCAGCCAGAGACACCTAAACAAATGAGGGTGGCTGTGTGCCAACAAAACTTTATTTATAAAAACAGGTGGTGGGCCAGATTTGGCCTCTGGGCTGCACTTTACTGATTCTGTTGTTAGAAGCTTTAAAAAGTAGATTTTTATTCCCCTTTGGTTAAAAAAAAAAGCAGCAGCAGCAGAAGGCATTGACTAATAAAAGTGGTTACACTCTCCCTAGGCCCTTCTACCTTAGGACTGGCTTCCACTTCAAGGTCACAGATGGCTGCTCCTAATTTAAATCCCCACTCAGCCAAACACCTGGATGCCATTTTCAGTAGGTTGCTGCTACAGCCTGTGTACTGCGTCCGACTGCACATATCACACAGGTGTGTGTGTGCACATCCACGTATAGGGCTGTGCACGCTGGCCAGTTAAGGTCTCATGGGGGATGACGCTGACCACATGTGAATTCTCTGCTGAATCATTGACTTCAGAACCTGAACTGCAGCCCCACTGTGCATGGTTTCACAGTGGCCTCGCAGGAAGTCCCTGAGGACAACGTGGGGCGGGGAAGGGTAAGCCTCCCTCTGTTCTCTTGCAGCTCCCCATCCCCTCCATCCAGTTCATGGAGCGGTGCCGCCTGGTGCGCTGTGGAAACAGGCGCATGGACGAGCACTGCCTGCCGTCCACCATGCGTGGGGAGATGAACATGCTCATTGGCATAGTCCGCAGGGACGACTTTCTGGTCTACCTGGAGTGCTGTAAGCTCTGTGAGCTCTATGGCATCCCGCTGACAGAGGACATCCTCATGAAAGGTAAGGGGCTTGGTGGATGGCCCTTGTGAAGACACCAAAAGGCCCCAAGCGAGGGTGAGAGTGATGTCCGCCTGAGGCACCCATGTACCCACTCAAGCTGCTGTGGCCTGTGGAAGGGACACTGGGAATATGGAGGGGAGGGGGAGCAGCCCAGCCTGTTTGTGGATGGGACTTCCAGAACACAGGCCTAGACATCTAGTTCCCCAGCTGAGATTTGGGGGGCGTCTGGGTTCTGGATCCCCGAGCTTGGTGAATTAGAAGTTTTTCCAGGGCAGGAAGCTCTAAGGACAGTTCTGAGCAAAGGATCCTGGCCTTTGGGCATAAAGGAACAATTCCAATACTGAAGACACGACAACTCCTATCAAAACTCTCCTTTAGGCCAGGCCTGTTTCTCGGTTCTTGTGCAACAAGCAGTGAGGTAGGAATGCACCTGGAGACAGGCCTGCTGAGGCCCTTCACTCCCTACTCAGACCTAGGACTCAGCCCAGATTTCCATGCTGTGTCTGCCCTCTGCTTGAGGGAAGAAGAACCTTTTCCTACATCCAAGCTGATCTGAGCCCTCTGCATCTCTGGGTAGTGAGTGCTTCTGATGTAGGCATGGGGGAGGGCCCAGCATTTGATGGTAACTTAGTAATGCTGGCATCCAAGCTTGTGACCTTACGAATTTATAAATATAGTGGGCAGGACTCTCTGTACTGTAGAAACATGAAGTCACCCAGGCGCGGTGGTTCACACCTGTAATCCTAGCACTCTGGGATGCTAAGGTGGGAAGATCCCTTGAGCTCAGGAGTTTGAGACTAGCCTGAGCAAGAACTAGACCTCATCTTTACTAAAAATAGAAAAACTAGTTAGGCATTGTGGCAGGTGCCTGTAGTCCCAGCTACTTGGGAGGCTGAGGCAGGAGGATCATTTCAGCCCAAGAGTTTGAGGTTGCTGTGAGCTGTGACACCACGGCACTCTAGCCAGGATGACAGAGTGAGACTCTGTCTCAAAAAAAAAAAATCAAATAAATAAATAATAATAATAAAGAAAACAACACAGAGCAGCAAGCAACACATGGAGGCAAAGGTTTTTCTCATAGGAGCCTTGGAAGGAGGAGCTCCTGCCGTCCTGAGAAATGTAGCTTTCTGAAAAAGGAACACACCAACAGTGGTGTGACCTACTGAGAGCAAGAGTTAACAGGGTAGCGCCTGTGGCTCAAAGGAGTAAGGCACCGGCCCCATACGCTGGAGGTGGTGGGTTCAAACCCAGCCCCAGCCAAAACGTGCAAAAAAAAAAAAAAAAAAAAAAGAGTTAACAGCTACAATCGACCATTTCTACCTTTTTCCCAAGAGGGAAGGAAACACGAGTTTTCCAGGGCTAACATAACAAACTAGCACCAGTCTATGGTTGACAACAAGAATTTATTTATTCTGGAGGCTTTAGAAGTCCAAGATCAAGGTGTCAGCAGGGTTGGTTTCTTCCAAGGCCTCTTTCTTTGGCTTGCAGATGGCAGCCTCCTCGCTGCCTCTTCTCCTGGTCTTCTCTCTGTGCATATGGGCCTTCGTGTCTCCCTTGTGTGTCCCCAGTTCCTCTTATAGGGACCAGTAAATTGGATTAGGGCCAACCTTTCTAGCCTCTTTTTAACTCAATCTCTTCTTTTTGTTTGTTTGTTTGTTTGTTTGAGACAGAGTCTCACTTTGTCACCCTTGGTAGAGTGCCGTGGCATCATAGCTCACAGCAACCTCAGACTATTGGGCTCAAGCAATTCTCTTGTCTTAGCCTCCCAAGCAGTTGGTACTACAGGTACCCGCCACAATGCCCAGCTATTAGCTATGTCTCACTCTTGCTCAGGCTGGTCTAGAACCTGTGAGCTCAGGCAATCCACCTGCCTCTGCCTCCCAGGGTGCTAGGATTACAAATGGGAGCCACCTTGCCCGTCCCTTGATCACCTCTTTAAAAGCCTTATCTCAGGAGCCGGGGCAACTTGAATCTATGCTCCCAGGCTATAAATCTAATTTAAAAATAAAACAATTCCTCCCCACAACAAAAACAACAAAGGCCTTATCTCCAAATACAACCAAATTCTAAGGTACTGGAGGTTCGGACTACAACACAGGAATTTTGGAGGGACACAATGTAGTCCATAACAGGTCTACACAGGGGAATGTGGCCAAAGGCCTTCAGAAACACAGGCAAAGCAACTCCAGTGTCACTGTTCCCCCACACACTTCATGCCCCCTGCTTGGGCAGCCAGTTGCTGCCTGTCTACGCTGGGAGGGCAGAGACAGAGGAGTCCTGCAACTCTGATGCTGACTTTTCACCACTATTGTGGCAGGCACCTGTAGTCCCAGCTACTCTGGACCTCTAGAGGCTGAGGTAAGAGAATTGCTTGAGCCCAAGAGTTTGAGGTTGCTGTGAGCTACGACGCCACAGCATTCTACCAAGGGCGACAAAGTGAGACTCTGTCTCAAAAAAAAAAAAAAAAAAAAAA